AAGTTTGATCAAAAGTAATATCCTTCAACGTGGTGTGGTGCTTGAGGCAAGGAAACCTTCAAGTGTTTACACTATAGCTTTTTGGAAGGAGGAGAAGTTTGCTTCTGGATAAGGAGTTTAGAAATCTCTCTTTATCAAGCTTTTTGGGCTAACTGTGAATGAGATAGCTTTAGTGATTGCTTCGTTGTGTTGTTGTATCAACGTATCTCATCGTATACTCTTCAGTCTTCCAAGGATGCTATTTATAGCTGGATTGGATAATCTATCCGTTGAATCATAATAGATTATCCGTTGCATTTGCTGGCTTCAATTTTGAATGAAGATTGTGATTTGAAGATTCCTCATTGGAATGGGTGTTTGGACATACCCATTTGTTAAAGGAAAGATTCCCTTTTTCCATAGAGTTCGTCTTCTAGCTGCTGTTCAAGTATTCTGGACTGTAGAACTTTACTTTGTTTGTCTTCTAGTGCTTGTTTAGGAATTCTGGACAGGTTCTTCAATTTTTAGAGATTCAGACTTTGTCTTCGAGTCATTTGTTCTCGAATCAGCATAATTATCTTCAATCTAGCCGTTGAAAATCAAGAGATTGATTTTTCCTTACCAACGGGTAGAATTTCTTCATTCAAGACTTAGACAATTTTCTAAGTCTTTTCTCACTTGTCCGTTTTTTGAGAATTCCAGTCTTCCTTGAGGCATCCGGTTCTTAGCTGACAAATCCGGAGGAGTCATTCTCAGACTTCCGGGTGAGAGAGAGATCCGCGCTAGTCTTCCGATTTGGGTGACTTAGCCTTCAGCGGGTTGTAGCGAGACATCCGGTTCTTATGTAGTCTTTCGGAACAGAGGATTTTCATCTGCTTGAGAAATCCTTACTTGTCTCTAGCTTTTCCGATCAAGATATCCAATTTCCATATCACTGAATTTGATTAAGTCTTCAGGCATCAAAAACGCTAAATGAAATATCACAACCTTATTGGAAAACTCAAGAACTTGGTTTTAACAATATTTCTAAAAAGAAAAATTACATTGAATATTGGGGGAGACCTAAAGTCCCTATTACATTCTAAATACATCATCATCAAAATCTATGATATTTTTCCCAACACATATCAAGTGATTTCATGTCATAAAATTTCTGCGAGAGCTCATTCGACATGGTGGCTAACATAAACTTCAACACAGTTTCATCATCAGTTACGTGTTTAATTAAAATATTTTAAAACTCTAGAATATCCAAATTAAAATTTTGGAATATTCAGAATTTTAAAATAAATTAATTACCGTAAATATAGGTATTACTTTCAAAATAGGAATTTTAATTACGAATATTCCAAATATTCCAAAAATTAATAAATTCAAAAATAAATATTTTGTCTCCTACTAAATCTGAAAATCAAATTTCCAAAATATTACAATTTTATTTTTACAAATATATCAATTAATTAATTAAGGAAATTGAAAACAATTTCAATAAATTATTTCCATATATCCGAAATATTCCAAAATCTATATTTTATAAATATTCTGACCTAATTTCCAAAATTATTATTTTTAGGTAATTAAAAAATTAATTATAATTTAATTAATATAAACAAGACTACCGAGAATAAACAATGGGCAATGTCCTTTGCCCATTGTCTTTTAGGTTTTGATAATGACAAAAGGGTGACAAAACATCATCATCATTTTGTGCATCAAGGCTAAGAATCAAAGCTACAACAAGTTCATATCCGTCCGGGAAAAAGGGACTTGAGCATCGGTGGAAGGAACGAGATCGAATAGGTTGTTTCTTTAGTTGGGTAGTGTTTTAGGTCTTAGATTTTGTGTTAAAGAGTATGGCATCTATAAGGTTCATTCCCTTATCATCCTACCTTTAAAACACATTTTTTCAGCAAACTATTCGAATAAATTGAAAACTTTTCGAATAAATCCCTAAAATTCTATTCTGACTTAGTTGAATAAATCCAGAACTAGTTGAATAAGTCAGACTGTAGTTTCACCAGAACTAGTCGACTAAGTCTTGACTTAGTCAAATAGTTCGACAGTTTCAACTACCAAACGGCTAGTTTTTTGAAAGCTTTTCATCCCTATCCACTCTCTATCTTCTATAAACTACCCTATCTCGTGTTTTTGGCCAAGAATATACATTGAAAACACTTCAAAACATATCCTTTGAATATCCAAAGAGATTCTACTTAATCCCCTCCTTATATCCAAGCAAGGCAATTGTTTTGATTGCTAAATCATTTCTTGCTTGAGTTTTTTCCTCATTGCTTGAGTCTTTGAGAGATATTGCCATATTCTAAAGGACTTTATTGTATTTGCAACAATCTACTCCGTGTTGGGAGAATTACTCGGTTACAGTTTGTTTTCTTACTTTATTGTAAGGGATTTGTATTCTTGGTGTTGGGATTACACCAAGCGGTAGAAATCCTAACGGTTTGTGAAATCAAACGTTAGGTGGAAGAAATCCTGAGTTTTGTGAAATCAAAACTTCGGTGGTAAGATAAGAGGCTTGTGAAATCCAGTTCTCGAGTTGTATTTGGATTGTCAAACTCCGTTAAGTTTGACAGGTTAGTGAAGGCCTGGGCACAATTGCTTCGGGGACTGGATGTAGGCATTTAGGCCGAACCAGTATATATCGTGTGTGCATTGCTCTTATCCTTCATTTTATTTTGTTTGTGGTGCATTCTTTTTATTGAATATTCGTGAAGAACGTTTCCGCACAAAAAACTGGTCTTTTGGGCAACACCTCTATTCACCCCCCCTCTAGAGGTGTGCGAGGCGTCTAACAAGTGGTATCAGAGCCTATTGTTTTCCATAGCTTTACCGCAGGAAACAAGATCATGGCCGGAAGATTATTTCAAGTGGGAATATCCGAAGGACAATCCACTACTCATCCTCCACTCTTTGACGGTACAAATTATGCATATTGGAAGGAAAGAATGAGGATATTCATACAATCAAATGACTTTGACTCATGGATGGTAATCAAGCATGGAAACACTACCCCTTCAAATATTGTTGATGGAATTCGTGTTCCCAAGTTGGAATCCGAATATGATGATCAAGACAAGAAGAATGCATGCAAAATGCCAAAGCCATCAACTATCTTTATTGTGCGGTCAACCCTGATGATTATAGGAAGATATCAAGATGCAAATCCGCCAATGAGATGTGGACTAAACTCGAAGTCACTTATGAAGGTACATCTCAAGTTAAAGATGCTAAAGTTGATATCTTATTGCATGAATACGAATTATTCTCAATGAAGGAGAATGAAAGCATTGATAGTTATTTTGAGAGATTCTCTACAATCATCAACAATCTTGACACGCTCGGAAAGTATTACACTGATCATGAGCTTGTCCGGAAAATTATGCGTTGTATGACTCCTTAGTGGAAATCCGAGGTGAACGCCATAACTGAAGAGACTACAATGTCTTAACTTATGATACTCTTCGTGGGAAACTTACTCACATATGAAACTACTACTCCTCATCTACGTGGTGAAGACAAGAGGAGGAAATCTATAGCATTGAAAGCCAAGGAAGTTGTAGAGGAAAATGAAGATGATGATGATGAATCACTTAATTCAGAAGATAATCCCAAACTTGCACTTGTCATTAAACTCTTCAACAAGTTTATCAAGAAAAGCTTCAAGCCAAGGAGAGACAATGGCAAGAAAGCTACACCACCTAAATGCTATGAATGTGGTGAGATAGGGCACATCAAGCCTTATTTTCCTAAGTTGAAGCAAGGGGAGGACAAGAAGTTCAAGAAGAAGCAAAAAGCATACATCTCATGGGAGAATGATCATTCATCTTCCGAAACAAGTGATGAGGACAAAGAAACAACAAATCTTTGTCTAATGGCTACCGAGGAAGAGGTATCTTCTAATTCTTTTTCAACTCCTTTATCGTCTTCAAGTGATTGCTTTTCATTGGATGATTTAAATAGTGCATTTAGTGATCTCTATGGTGAATTTCTCAAATCCACCAAAGAAACTAAGCTTGCCAAAGAAAATGTCACATCTTTAGAAGCTCAAATAATTGAACTTAATAAAGAGATGGATTTGTTGAAACTTGAAAACAAGAAACTTGGCAAGGTTAGTATTGACACTCCTTGTGCATAATGTAACACCCATGAAAAAGAGATAGCAAGATTGCATGAACATTTAGGAAAATATAATAAGGCTAGCAAAGATATGCACTTTATAGTTCAACAAGGACAATACAATAAAAATGGACTAGGCTATAAATCTAAAGGTTTTAAAAAAGTGAATTTCATTAAAGAAGGAGAAAGACCTTTTGTTATACCCCTGGATGGCTCCACCAAAACCTCAAACCATCCCTAAACATCCAAAATGCCTTGTCTTTTATTTCCTTTCAAATAAAGTCTTCCTCCACTTATTTTAAGTCCCTTGACTGAAAAAAAGAAGATCATTTTTATTTCTTTTTTTTAAAGCCTTAAATAATCAAATAACACACTTCCCTTCTTGTTCCTACATAGGGATGAAATTCCAGCCCCATTTGGTTCCTAAAATCCAACCAAAATTACCATTTACCACAAAGAAAAAAAAATCAGCAAAAAGAGTCTAAAGTTTAATTGTAAAAATTTCTCCTTTTGTTGACTAATTTCACAACCAAACATGTAGTGTACCTTCCTCACCTTTTCCCCAACAAAAGGCCCAATCCACCAAATACAGCCTAGAATATCTTCATATTAAGTTTCAAATTATCCTTCTGGATTTTGTGTGCATAAGGCCGAAAATCCATAACTCATTTTAATCAAAAATACTTTCCTTTCACAGCCATACCATGTTCCCTTGTCTTGCTCACTAATAGCCAAAATAATCTCTTCAAAACAAGCCAAAGAATATCCTCCAAATTCATCCAATATCTCCTTGTGATTTCATTCACTAGAGGCCGAACAAACCAGCCCCATTTTTAGCCAAATAACATCCCACTAAGCCCCACAATGTTTCCCACTTATTTGTGCTACATATGGATGAAATAGACCCTTCCAAAATATGCTAAATAAAGCTTTGTCACAGCCTTGGACATTCCTCACATGTGGCCGACAGACACGCCCCAAAAAAACAGCCAAAGGAAACCCTCATCCTAATAATCAATGCACTCTGGATGCTGATTTGGGAAGGCAGTAGGAAGCTTCTTTATTATTGTTTTCTTCTTCATTATTAATGTATTATTTCCCCTTTGTAGTGTGCATATATAGTTCGGCCTTATGGCCATTGTAAGCAGCATATTTGAATTCAAAAAAACCTTGTTTACTCTTTTGAGTATTCTCTTAAAATAGTGTGATGCTATTTTAGCCAAATTCCTAATTCTATATCTTAAGAGTGGTTCTCTTAAGTGTGAGTTTTAGGTTCTAGATATTTAATTAAGTGTGTCATATCTTGATTGAATTCTAGATTCAAACCCCAAGTGAGGATAAGAGTGTGTTATATCTCTTAACACCAACTTGGTTTATCCCTTCACTTTACCTCTGCCAATTTCATTTCTCACCATTTCTTCTTCTTGAACTTATTCTTTTCTTTCATCAAAAACCCAAAAAAACAACTCTTTGTTCCACCCCCATATTTCGTCTCCCTCATTTCCTCTTCACCATCCCATAATTCCATCTTCAAATAGCAACTTGATTATACCCCGGGTCTCGGGTATAACATTTGGTATCAAAGCTATCTTCGAAGACTTCCTTAAGTCTCGACGATCACCTTGTGGACCGGCTTCACAAACGTTGCCTAAAAAAAAGGTAGCTGAAATTTTTTCCAGAAACTTTCAGCTCGAAAGAATTGAGCACGGTGGAAGCTACACAACAGATTTTGGAGTTAAATTTTCCAGATTGAAAGTTTGACCTTTTCTCCTCGCGTGGCCACTAATTTCACTCAATTCCGAGTTGTGGTTATTGAGATATGTCCTCCCGAAGTTGATAACACAATCCTGGACAAATTCTATCTACCTTGCTGAAATTGTCTTTAAAGAGGTAGCAAACATTCTTTAATGGCTCTAAATTTTTGATATGTGTTTTTGGACGTCAATATCTAGCTTTGAGAGTTGGAATTACCTAATTCCAATCTCCGGTTTGTGAGATATGGTCTCTAAAAGACACCTCAAAAATCTGGAAATTATCCTTGCAAATGGAGCAATATTACAATGGGCTACTTGGCGGTGTTTCATGTGTGGTGGCTGTGGTCATGGCTATTGGGAATGTTCAAATAAGTATGCCATCCCATATGAAGAATGGACCAGAGACAAAGGTCAAATCGGATGCTTTAATGAAGCAATAAATGACCAAGTTCAGCCTGAAGAACCAACTCATGATGAGGAAGAGAAAAGCTCCGATGACGTGAACGTTGTTGAGAAAATTGTCTTTAACTCTCATGTTGAAGATAAAGATGAAGTCATCACAGATGAACCTATTTTAGAGGCACTGGAGCTGCCTAATCATGTCATCATTTCTAACGCCGATGATTATGACATTTCCTTTGTTTTTGATCATTTTGTTGAAACAGGTACGAAGGAAGAAAAACCGAGATTTGTGAAATACTCAAAAGACGATTCTTCAGAGTACTATATCTTGATCATGGAGAAGCACCCCTATGTTGTCAATGGGATATGTTTGAAGCAGGTTCCATTCAAGGAAACCATATCATCCCAGAAATTATACAAGAAGGTTCCTACTGATTCAGGAAAGAACCCCATTGTTAGTGGTTCATTGAATTTTCCCTTTGATATGGGAATTCTTATATGAACTATTGATCTTTTCATGGTGGTGCGAAAGTTTGAGGACAAACTTTCTTTGAAGAAGGGGAGTATGTTATACCCCTGGATGGCTCCACCAAAACCTCAAACCATCCCTAAACATCCAAAATGCCTTGTCTTTTATATCCTTTCAAATAAAGTCTTCCTCCACTTATTTTAAGTCCCTTGACTGAAAATAAGAAGATCATTTTTATTTCTTTTTTTAAAGCCTTAAATAATCAAATAACACACTTCCCTTCTTGTTCCTACATAGGGATGAAATTCCAGTCCCATTTGGTTCCTAAAATCCAACCAAAATTACCATTTACCACAAAAAAAAAATCAGCAAAAAGAGTCTAAAGTTTAATTGTAAAAGTTTCTCCTTTTGTTGACTAATTTCACAACCAAACATGTAGTGTACCTTCCTCACCTTTTCCCCAACAAAAGGCCCAATCCACCAAATACAGCCTAGAATATCTTCATATTAAGTTTCAAATTATCCTTCTGGATTTTGTGTGCATAAGGCCGAAAATCCATAACTCATTTTAATCCAAAATACTTTCCTTTCACAGCCACACCATGTTCCCTTGTCTTGCTCACTAATAGCCGAAATAATCTCTTCAAAACAAGCCAAAGAATATCCTCCAAATTCATCCAATATCTCCTTGTGATTTCATTCACTAGAGGCCGAACAAACCAGCCCCATTTTTAGCCAAATAACATCCCACTAAGCCCCACAATGTTTCCCACTTATTTGTGCTACATATGGATGAAATAGACCCTTCCAAAATATGCTAAATAAAGATTTGTCACAGCCTTGGACTTTCCTCACATGTGGCCGACAGACACACCCCAAAAAAACAGCCAAAGGAAACCCTCATCCTAATAATCAATGCACTCTGGATGCTGATTTGGGAAGGCAGTAGGAAGCTTCTTTGTTATTGTTTTCTTCTTCATTATTAATGTATTATTTCCCCTTTGTAGTGTGCATATATAGTTCGGCCTTATGGCCATTGTAAGCAGCATATTTGAATTCAAAAAAACCTTGTTTACTCTTTTGAGTATTCTCTTAAAATAGTGTGATGCTATTTTAGCCAAATTCCTAATTCTATATCTTAAGAGTGGTTCTCTTAAGTGTGAGTTTTAGGTTCTAGATATTTAATTAAGTGTGTCATATCTTGATTGAATTCTAGATTCAAACCCCAAGTGAGGATGAGAGTGTGTTATATCTCTTAACACCAACTTGGTTTATCCCTTCACTTTACCTCTGCCAATTTCATTTCTCACCATTTCTTCTTCTTGAACTTATTCTTTTCTTTCATCAAAAACCCAAAAAAACAACTCTTTGTTCCACCCCCATATTTCGTCTCCCTCATTTCCTCTTCACCATCCCATAATTCCATCTTCAAATAGCAACTTGATTATACCCCGGGTATCGGGTATAACACCTTTGGAGGATCCTAAGGATAAGAGTAATATAGTTCATAAAATTGGTAGTAACACTAAGACGACTAAACCTAGGATGAGAAAACCTAGTCACTCTAGGAGTTACGTTGATCATAGGTTCACTAGACAACCTAGAAAATTTCCTAGGAATAGGCAACCTAGCAACTTTAGAACTTTTAGAAATGCACCTAGACAACCTAGTAATAGGACACATAGAGGCTCATCTAGTCCATGTAGATTTATATATGATCCTAGAGTTGTTTGTCATTATTGTGATCATGTTGGGCACATAGCACCAGTTTGTTTTAGGAAGCTTAGAATGATAGCTAAGAATAGGAAGAGGGCACACATTGATGTTTTTAATTCTAGAACTAACCCCCCTGGACCCAAAAGGCATTGGGTACCAAGATTTGCTTCGTAGATTCATTATGGAAGGTGTGCTTGAACACTTCGACTTGAGTTGAAGTAGATGCGCCAAGCACATAATTGGGTAAAGCATCAATAAAGGGGGAAGTTGATTCACTTTATTAATTCCAACTAATGTTGATTTATATTTTAGTTGGACAATGTGATATTATTTGTTTGTTTGATATCTATTTGCATGAGCATATATCTTTTTGCCCATCTCTTTTTGATAATGTCAAAAGGGGGAAGATGGTGTAGATATGCATATATTCAGGGGGAATTGTATTTGTGCATATCTTAATGGGGAAGATAGTATAGATTTGTATGTCTTTGTTTGATTTATGATGCAAT